CCCTCATACCGCTGTTTCTCTCCCCTTTTTTTCCTTTTTCCCCAAATATTCGAAAGCCGGTCAGCATGCAAGTCCGAAGCAAATAAATGCACAAGCAGTACGTAAGATGCATCAGGATGGTCAATTTTGGTACACCTGTCCTAGACAGACCCAACCCCTGTGTTGAGCCTCCAACGTCAAATGCACATGATGCAAACAAACGTTCCTACTAGGGATCTGGCATGAGGCTGAGTTATTCTAGGTTCAAAATCTGGGTATTTGTTCTAGACTATGTACCCGAGCGGACAACTCGAGTCGAGGAGGGGGCTACGTACCGGGGACCCGAAAGATCATCCGGCTTAGTAACTTGTCCGAGCCTCTTTCTTATTTCAAGGTATGACACTAACAGAATAGGGAGTCTCGACCAGCGAGCACATCCCCGAAGATAAGAAGAGAAGGGTTTCGTAACAGTTTATATGTACAGTTCAAATAATATCAAAGCGGTAAAAGTATCATTTTGCACATTAAACCCAACATGTAAAAATATCAGATAATAAACAAAGACAAATACAACAGTTATTCTAAGCTCGAATTCTTGAACCCTGAACCAAAAGTTCTGGGTTCATTTCCCCAGCAGAGTAGCCAGAGCTGTCACACCTCCTTTTTTTACTACACCCCCCGGAAGAGGTATAATAAGGGTGTTTTTCCAATTAAAGGACAATCGAAACGGGATTTATTATTAGAAGATTCAGAGTCGCCACTTGGAAAATTTATGGTGTCCCAAGTCACCGGTGGAATCCCGAATCGAGGAAAATAATGACTCTGTTTAACAGTCCGCGAACCAGAAATCCGAGTAAGGAATTCTGTTAACCCGGGAGAAGGTGTTAGGCATTCCCGGGTTCCGTGGTTCTAGCACGGTCGCTCAACTGTCATATTCGGCTTAAATTATCTAATTTTAAACAATTATGAACCTATGTGCAAATTTTAACTTTTAGCCGCTTTTATTAATATTTTTAAAGAGAATTGCAACGTCGTTAAAACACGTCTCGAACCACGTCACATAAATGCACCCGTGGTTTTTGACATATCTTAACATCGTTGAGATATGGATTTGGGTCACATAAATGCGCACCCGAATTTAGGAAAGTAATATTATTAAACACGCGCCTAAAGCAACTACGCGTTTGCACTTTGCGAGGGCCATGAAAATTCGCTAAATGGCACGCCCCGTGTTCTAAAGATTTAAAAGGTATAATTAAAGAAGGCCACGCATTTGTGATTTTATTTGGCGTGGCGCAACTCGATTCTATTTTAAAGGATATTTAAGCTAAAAGCTCGGAGGGCCATAAACTATTTGTTATCTACTACGGCTCACCTCCAACTAATTAAAAGTCCAACCAATTAGTACTAAACGAGTTCGGGAACTGAAAGATAGAAAAAGGATTAATTAATAAAGGAGGGGGGCTTCGTCAACATGAACGGTTAATAGCGAACGGGATTCAACAAAGACAAGGGGAGTCCCAAGTTCATTCACGGGGCCTTCAAACTTGGGCCTGAGAGTGAGCCCAATTGGTTAATAAGAATAAAAGAAGCACAACCTCCAATTGTTCAGACGTGATTTATTTAAAGGCTAACGTGATTTATTGAGCTTAGCTAACTGCATAGAGCAGATCAGGGCTCCTAACATTGGGCTTGGGGTCCATATGAACCCAATTCCAACGAGAGATGGAACTGAAGAACCCCAAAATGACAACAAGTAAAGAAAGGCCCAAGAGGCCCACCCCTGTAAATTTATCATTGCAAGATCAAACAAATTGAACATACCATTACTGAAGGCTAAAAAACTAATTAGAATTCAACTTCAAAAATGTTTAGAATATGATCACACTCACACAATGACCATTCCAACCACAGGGACCAAATCTGCGCAGAACATACTAATTATTAACCATTTTCATGCTTTGAATCCATTTCAAATTATCCTGAATTAATAAAACTAACATCACAAGTCAGTGAGATAGTACTGCTATGCTATTTTGTTATAAACACCAGATTCTGACTTGACAACCATGTTTAACGACCTCATTACTACAATAATACAAACTAAACTCGAAAACAATCCAATTCTAGTTACTAACTATAACACTCAGAATTAGAAGACAATCACCATACTGAAATGACGGGATTTAATTAACAACTACAGTCATGCTTTGACAAGTGCATTAAACAAACTTCGAAGTCATGTAATGGTTACAAAACCGAGTTTATCATTGATTTTCAAATCCAACCCCACCCTAGAAGCTTCTCTTTCTGTTACGCAAAGATTCTTTAAACTCTATTTCCTAAATTACCCTCAAATGCCTCTGAAATTACTTGAGCTACCCAACAGACTTGGGCTCAAACAACTGGACATCTTAGAATTGGGTCATAAATGACTCCAAGAGCCCAAGCTGATTCCAACTAAACCAATATGAATATCAAAAACCCAATTCTGACCCAGGCCCTACCACAAACAATTTAACCCTAGCTGATTGTTAATTTGACTTTGATAAAGATAAAAACCAAGAGGATAAAAATTAAACAAATGAGGATTGCCTTTGAGTCTGCTTGAAATACTAACAAGAATAAGAAATTAAACGGAATTATTCAGAAAGCAAGCAAGACCTAAACGAAATAGAGATGAACTTAAAACGAATTAACGAACTAAAACCTATTGGACTCGACTGGTGAAGGAAACAATGATGAACTCAGCAATTGATTAAACTGTTTAACAAGTGAATCAAATAGGCCAACCAATCCTAACTATAAAAAAACCTATCCAAATTAGCTTAGGTAACCAGGGAGAAAAAAGAAGAAGAAAAGTCGAACAAACCCTAAGAAGACGGAAAAATAAAACAAAAGAAGTAGGAGGCTCACAGGCTTGGCTCGAACTCAGGACTGATCTTTGATTTGATCCTTAAACAATGTCGTATGCTTGTTCTTGGCCAAGAACCAACAAACGACATTATTTCAGGATCAAACGGACTCTGAACGCTGAAAGACCTTGAGAGATAAACGGATTGGGTTATGGCTTTTAGGGTTTAGACCAGATTCGAAATTCGACGAGGGTGGCTGTGATTTGAGGCAAACGGGGTTGAGATTTGGAATGTGAATGTGAAAAAGATTACATGGTGTTGATTTTGGGGTTAACTAGGGTCAGCACCGCCAGACACGGTATAGGTGGCGCTAGGGTTTCGGTTATTCGAACAGTGTGAGTGAGATTTGAGGGAGATGGGGCATAGATTTGGAACGAGGAGAGGAAGGCGGTCGAGTGGTGTTAATTTGGTGGCCTTTGGGTGATCACCGCCGGCGGAGGCAATTTTCGGCCGGCGGTGCACGATGGGAGGCGGTGGCGTTACAAGGGAGGCTTGGAGACGAGGAAGGGTAGGGGGGAAGGCGGTGGCATTTAGAACACAAATCTGGCCCAATTTTGGGTCTTTAAAATAAAAGACTCAATTTCTTTTGATTTTCTTCTTTTGATTTTCTTTTCAAATTAAAACTAAAAATCTAAATTAATTCTAAAAACTAAATTAACCTACCTAATCATATTAAGTCCTAATTAACAATCAACGTAATTAATAAAATACCGGTTTACAGAAAACTAATAAAGCTAAAATTCAAACCAAGCAAAACAAATCAATTTTTGTGATTGTTGTGTTTTCCGTAAAATTCTAATTAATAATTAAAATATGTAAAATTAAATCTTAAATGTAATGCATATTTTTTGTATTTTTTATGAATCTATGCACAGAAAAAAATGCAAACAATTAACAGACAATGTTAAAAATCCACAAAACTGCAAACACTGGAAGAAGTTGTTTTGTTTTGAATTTATGGTAGTAATTCATATAGGGGAAAAATCACGTGCTCACAATTATGCTGGAGTTCCAGCATACTATCCTGGAACTCCAGTATAATATGCTGGAGTTCAAGTATACTTATGCTGGAACTCCAGCATAATATACTGGAGTATTTTCCGGATTTTGAATAGTGTTTTCGCTCAAATTTATCTTTACATAAAAAGTGGCTAATCTAGGCTATTTTTAAACGACCAGTTATAAATCTGGCTATTTTTAAAATCACTCAATAGAATATGACATTCAGTCCACATGTTCCCAAGTTCTCGTTGCTAATCAGGCCCAAAATCATTGGTCTTAACATGGATTCAAGAGTATAATAAACAAATTGTACGAGGAACTGTTAGATCCTTTATCAATTACCTTTTTTTAGTTACTTATGTAAATTACACTCCCATCCACTAAGCTATTTCTATTGATGCTAACCAGTAACCATTCACTAGAAGTTGCTGAGGTAACATTTAGACTTCACTGATAGTTAGAACTAGCTCAATTCACCCAAGTAGATAAATTGCACTGAGTTAACTTCATTATTATTGTCAGCCATTGTCAAAATTTGAACGTCAAAATAGATGGGTTGGATCGATTTTGGGCGGGTCAAAATGGGTTGAATATAAAAATGGACTGGTCAAATAACCCGCCTAAAAGTAACTTAGGTTGATATAGGTTGGGTCAAGATAGGCTAAAACTTGGGTTATAGCCCAACCCGCCGAACTCTTAATAATCTTTAATTAATATGTAATATTTTCTTATGAATTGTATAATTAATAAATAAGACTTTTTTTTTCCTTTTATTATGATCATATATAACATATCAAATAAAAAAAATTATTTCTAAGATATTTTGGCAAAGTTACTCATGAATCAATTTGGGCTAAAAATCAGCCCAACTTTAAATGGAGTGAGATGGGTTGGGTCAAGATGGACCGAGTTTAATAAATGGGCGTGTCGATAATCAGCCCAACCTTGGGTAGGTTGGACGGGTCATTTGGGGCTTGGGCCAAATTTGTCAGCCAAATTGATCTTAACGTAAATTAGTTTATGACTTGTGTCATATACTAGTATGGTATTCGAATGAAAATAAAGTGATCAGAAAAGAGGAATGAAAGAATGAGACAAGGGATTGATTGAACTCTGCCGTGCATATTTCACTTCCATATCTTACAAAATAGGTTTTCAAGAATAGGCATATCTTTACAAAAATGGATGCCTTAATACTAATGTACAATATCTTCTAAGGAGTAAGGATGTTAAGGAGGCAGACTCTGTTTCTGATCAATAGCCTTGACAAGCTATCTGTCCCAGCCTCAAGACCCTGAAGACCAGCATTTAATATCTGCAACTTTCTCTGGATCATTGGTACATCAACTTTAAAATTACTTATATGAATGTTAGAACAAAGAGCAAAGTCAACACATTCCACCTCATTGATTGTATTTAAATCTCCTTTAGAAGTCATTGACTTTGTGACAAGCATCTTTGATATCAATGACCACCCGTTTTTCTTCGCCTTTGAAGCTGGCGCGGACAAGAAAGATAGTTGGGATCTTAGTACTGAGATGGTCAAAGCAGATACTTCTCTTAACACTGCATTTAGCTTAGATAAAGGAGATGATTCTATCTTGTTTTCTATTTGTTTTAGTGCTTTGAGGTTCTTGGCTATATCTTTCTTCACTTTCTTTCTAAAACTAATATATGCATCGAAGCAATTTTGTGTACTTGAGTCTCCAACTTTTCTCCTCAGTGCTGATTGAAGATCTTGCACTTGTTGTTTCATCATCAAGACTAATTCCCTCGTCGAGCCACACGAGTCTATTAATCCAACAGAGGACTCAAGAGCTTCTTCTACTAATCTTCCCATTTGATGTTTGAGGAGAGCTTGTTGAGTTGTCGGGGACTCGAGAAGATCTTGAACACAATTATACAACTCTGCTAGCCCTACAATGCCTTCTTGAATGTTGTTTAAAGTAAGAGGAGTTGCTGTTGAAGAAATTGATGATGATTCCCATGTTTTTAGCCTGTTTAGCTCAATCTCAACTTTGAGATACTCTGGCTGTGATCGAGAAGGAAAACTAATGGACCTAACATGACTTGAAATAGCCATCTCTAAGAATTGTTATGTTAGCTAATGCTGAAAATAACTCAGTGATCAAAGTGAATGCTAGAGAATGATGCCTTGCCTCTACTTATATCAAAGCAATGCCAATGTGGAATTTTGGATCTCACTATATTCTCAATGATTGTAGTGGTGTTTATTGGTGTAGCCAACAGCCGGCAGTCTACAATTGTTTTATTTCTTGGCTCTAAAATAGGTTACATTAGGCTCTAGTCCTTTTTCTCCAATAGTGATTTTCATATTGATATAGTTATGTATATTGTTGCCGCCCCAATCATTATGTGAAACCGGCCTCACTTCCTGAGAGTTGAAATTTGAAAAGGAAAAAAAAAGGCATCTTTTAGTAGTTATTCCTACTACAACTCTACCATTTTCAACAACACTAGCTGGCTATTGATTCTTGCTGGATAGAAAGAACCCAAATCCAGGATTTCCCAATTATTAATTTCACCAGGAAAAATATAATGTGAAACATTGGATTTTGTGCTCTTCAATTACAGCCTTGCACAATCAGTGTAGTGTCTGCAGTTGTTCTTATGGGTTTTTTTCTGCAAAGAGAAACACCCGTACGACAAAATCCACTGCCTATTGAAATATTTGTTCGAACAATTTCCAACAAATACTCTACCTATTTTATTCATTCTAGATATTATTTTACTTAATTGTACAATGCAACTGTGAGTGAAAGAAAGTTTACCTTTCACTTCATAGTGCTCTATGTCAGATGGAATGCTCGAAACCAGAGGCAAGGCCGAGATTTAAAGTTAATGGTTCTGAATTTGTAACAGAACTTATAGTTCGTCTTAGTTACTTGCTTCGCAATTATATTTATACATATATAATAGATTTTCTAATACAAATACGTTGTCTAAAAAAAATTTACTGAGTTTGGCCGAACCAATACCTACTACGCTAACTCTGCCCCTGCTCGTACCCATCCATTTTGGTTTAAAATTTGCTTCCAACTTTGTCTTACTATTAATGCATGTCTTTTATTCCTTGTTAAGTACTAATCTGATTATTAGCTAGCGATGTCCGTAAAAACTGTCTCCTTTAAGGGTCGTTTGGTTTGAATACGGCTTATGCCGGGATAAGTTATGCTGGATTAGTTATGCTGAGATTAGTTATCCTGCTATTGTTTTTTATCCAATGTTTGGTATGTTGTATTAAAAATGGCAATTGCATAATTTCTAAGAAGAAGGTATAAGTTATCCTGGCACTAATTACCCCACCCTCTACAAGGTATAAGTTAACCCGGTACTAATTTTAATCCCGGAATAGCTTATACCAGGTTTGCTAACCAAACCAAGTATTAAGGTGGTATTAAATTTTTATACCAGCACTATACCTTCTTATACCTCATACCAAACGACCCCTAATAGAACTCCTAATACCGTTAATCAAAAAAGCAGTAAAATCAATAAAAGTTTAAACCTTGAAGGTGTTAAACATCATTAGGACAGGAACCTAAAACTGATTAGGTGATGTTTAGTCAACCATAAAGGCATAAACATTCTTTGTCTTGATCTCTGTCACTATCATGTTTTTCTTATAAGGAAGAATAATGAATATGCACTAAATAATTCAATAATTATTATTTTAGGTATTACTATATTTTTGCATTATAATCGTTGCATATTTTTCCTATGAACCAAATGATCCCTAACAGATCAAGCCCAGGGTGGCATCACGATCTGTGTCTATCGTTATACCATTTTATTCCTAAATTATGTTGAGAAGATTTAGGAGTGTGTTATATCCGTACGTGATAATGTTCTCCAGTACAGCTAAGTACCAAAAAATACTTCCATTGAATAAATAGTACGTACAATTCTTTCTTCACGATGATTAATTAGTGCAGTATTAGTATTTTTGTTTAATTTGAACCAGAAATTGCTAGGAGTATTATTTAATGCAATTATCAGGCGCGCATGATTGAAATGTCGTCTTTTATAAATTAGGCAGGGTCGACAAGATTGGTTTTCAATTAGATTTGAGAACAGAAATACACAAATCATTCGAGGTGAAGTTTAGATACCTTTTTTCGATTTCTGATGATAAATACTACTACTAATAAATGTGAATAGTTCAAATATATCAGGAAAAAAGAAACAATGTTATGAAGTATTGTTGTTAATTGTTTTTTCTTTTCTTCACTTTGTATTGAAATTTTGAAATTTTATGGAATAAATTTTATTAAGTTATAAATTCATGGTAAACAAAATGATAACATAATAATTTAGGCGTTGTTTTAAAATTAGTTCTATGCTAACATCCACAACACATTCTTCATATTAGTTATTAGAATTTTAAAATATTGTAGATAAGACTATCTTAAAGCGAGTAAACATTCTAGTGGAACTCTATATATTATATTTATCATTTACTTAATTTTATTATATCTATCATTCACTTAATTTTCATACTTATCTTTATTCATAACATTTTCTTTTTAAACATTCTGTTGAAGATTATCCAGCTCAACAAACGCCTTTGTCCAAAAATGATGCACACAATTGAGCTTTTGGAATGCATTTTTCAACCGACCTGTAGCTAAAATTTGAAATTAAAAAAATAAAAAAGGTAGCGCATATAACAAACTACTCTTATTAAAATGAACCCCAAATTTCACGTCGAATTCCGATTACTCATAGTGGTAATTAATTTACAGCTGTCAAAACGAGCCAGCCCAAATTTCACGGACTTTTAATTTTGGTGGGCTAGGATGGGATAGGACGCCATCTAAATGGGCCTTAAAATGGCTAGCCCAACCCAGCCCTAAGAGGGCCGCTGGCTAGGACGGGCTTGCTATTCAATTTTTTTAGATAAAAAATTTCTTCAAATCTATAAATATTTTTTCGCGGTATAGTCTCTTAATCATACGAACGACTTCTGTTTGTTTTAGAGCGTACAAGAATGATATTTGACAAGGAATCTCGAATTGAAATGCAAATTCTTTCTATTTCTATCTCTTCTTTTTTAACATTACATGAATATTTTTTCTTAATACTTTTCTTTCACTCCTCTAGTTCAGGGATTGCTTCAATAAGTTTATCTGTTGACATTTTTTAATTTAGGTTTAACATCATTTGCTGATTTCATCATTATAGTCCACAAAATTTTTAAAATTCATGAAATTTTCTAGTGTTGTCAATTTTCTTTGGGTATTAAAACTTGACATTTTTCTAAACTAAAGATCAGTTTAATTATTAATAACATATTAAAGTAACCAAACTGATCATTGGCCATTTAACATAATATTTTCTTTTGAAAAAAATTATTATTGGTCACTTAAAACATTCCTAGTTAATCTAGTTAATCAAAAATCTAAATTTTAGTAGATATGGAAGGGTAAGTGAGCAATCTAAGGTTGGGGAAAGAGGATTATATATAGTTAATATTTTTATTTTTTTTTACTTTTTTTAATATTAAATATTTAAATTTGAATTTAATTAATTTTTGGCCCACGGGCCGGTCCCGGTCCAGTTTCGATCAAGCTTCAAGTGCCAGCGAGTTGACTTGAGTCGGGCTTATAAGCCTTAATTTTAAATGAGCTAAAAAAATTTCAACCCAACCCTACCCAAATAGCGGGCTCGAATGGGCTGGCCTCACGGGCCAGCTCTAGTAATTATGATGAACCCCAAAATTTCATGCCTGAAGAAGAAACTTCTTTTGGTTACGTGGCATTTTATGTCGAATAGGATGTGCTAACCCAAAATTGTGGCACCAATTCGCATAGTGCTTACTATACAAGCAACAGACCAACTTTATTAACTCTACAATATTAAGGTAACTAAATTCAGTTACATTAACATGATGATACAAATGATTTTGTGACTTTGTTATTCTGATGATATTAACCCGAAAATAAGCAGATGGACCGAACATGACACTGAAATTCAAGAGCTTAAAATGAGGAATGGTTTCGTGACAATTTCAAAACCTATAAACTTTAAAGCCTAGCTTCGCCTTTAAATAGAATTACTGAGAGATAAAGCGAATGCTGAAGACAAAATGAAGCTGTAGGTCTACTTTTATGAATCCAATTTCAATGAGCAAACAGAATCCATGCAAATTAAGCACTGAGGTCTCCTCTTCTTTTTCCGCCATTTAGTTTGTTGCTTTTGTAATAGGAGTAGTGATTAGCCATTTTTTTTTTTTGTTTTTTAGGTAGGGAAAATGAGGAAAAGATTACAAGGTAGGATATCGAATTCTTACCATGAAAGTTTAAGTAGTCAACCAACAAAGCTACTAAAATTTCCCAATGCCAATAGTGATAGCCACATTTGCCAACCGTCGGCAGCCTATTATTATTATTATTTTTTTTTTAAATCTTGCTGTCACAGAATAAGCTACTCACGAGTTGATTCAATCAATATGGTATACATCATCTCAGCTACAGAGCGAAACAGGACAGAAGAATGCATTTTTCGCCACCCCAATCATCAATGAAAAGATTTCCTACTCAATAGTTCAGGAGGCATATTCTAGCAAGATAGAAATTCATTGGGAGCGTTGGAGCAATGATAAAGTTGTCACCGTGTGACCTATAGGTAATGGGTTCGAGTCGTGGAAGCAGCCACTAATGCTTGCATTAGGGTAGGCTGTCTGCGTCACAACCCTCGGGCTGCGACCTTTCCTCGAACCCTGCATGAATGCGGGATTCTTAATGCGCCGATCTATCCTGTAGTGAAATTCAATGGAGCAGGTTTTAAACAGTGCTCAATTTTGAATAGCCACCTTCAAGCCAGGACTCTTAATATGGCCAAGAATTTTATTAGGCCCTTTTTCTGCGGAAAGATACACTTGCTGGAGAGATAACTGCCACTGGCAATATTTTACCATGAACTGCATGTGGTTACAGAAGATGTAGCTGCTTCACGCGACACTGTACATTATTTAAAACAAATTCCCTAGTTCCTGCATTTAATCTGGCTACTTTATTTCAAAAAGATATTCATGACGAAAAATTCTTTTTCTTTTCATTACTGTACTACAGAGGAGTGGAGCTACATGGTCCACATAGTCCAAAAATTATAAATTATGCTAATAAGATCAAAATAATTTTCTGCAAATAGAAGCTTCTAATGTATAGTGGCAGAAATATCTTCAAATTCTTTTTAGCCTGTGGGTAATTTGAATTCTAGATGTAACATCCTTGTATTTTTCTAACCGTCATTAGATTTAATGACTCTGCTACATAGGCGGATCTACAATTTGAAGTTTGTGAGCTTCTACAACACCTCAATGTAACTTTCAATGATAATAGGTTCACGGTCAAATTTTTACATATATTTTGTAAATTTCTGAATACAT